GACTGGGTTGTTCCAAGTATCTCTTTAATGGTTCCAGAAAGGTCTCTTGCCAAGGATCAGTTCCTCATCTGTCAAGCACTGTTCTTTCTGCTCAAGCCTCAAGGTTCTGCACAGTAAAGGTCTTGCTCAGAAAGAGTATCAAATTCACCATAGATTTGGGGCAGCCAGGTGGTGCAGTGGATAGAGTACCAGCCCTGGAGTCAACAGGAACTGAGTTCAAATCCAGCCTCAGACACTTGACACTTACTAGATACTTACTAGTTGTGTGACCCTAGGCAAGTCACTTAACCCTGCTTGCCTAGCCCCCCAAAAAAATTCACCATAGATTTAAAGTCTTTGGGACAGAATTTGCTGCAACATCTACCTACTAATAAGTTTCCTGCCTTTTGCAGTAACCAGACAGAGAAGCTCTAAAGGATAGGTTCTCCAGTGCTATGACATATTCTCAACTTCTATTCAGCCTTTTTTTCTGTAAGTTAATCACTATCTGCTGAGGCAAAAATCATTTACTCTTCCTCTATCACCCTATATTTTCATCTTCATCCACCTCTGCCCTGCCTTTTCACTGACTTCCATTGTGCCCTTTGGAAGTATATCCTACTATTAATAAATTGTTCTTATTCCCTCTCTTCACTTCAAACTTTTCATCTCCTTGCACTAATGGAAACTTTGTTCCCTCCAGAAAACTCCACATTTCTGGCCACTCTTTTTTGATAGGACCCTTCAGGCCATAGCTCCCCATTCCTCTATCCATCCTGTACTCCCCAGCATAGGTTAGGTGAGCTTTTGCCTCAAAGGCAACAAAGCTATCCCAAACATTTGATTGTCCCACACGTCGAATTGTTCCTCTCTTGATAAAGCTTCTTGCTACGTTCTGGCATCACCTATCTAAAAGAATAAAAAGATACACAAACATGGAGTTAAGGTCCTTTAGACTTAGCAGATATCACCAAATCATGCAATTTACCACACTGTTCTCTACTGAAATGACGTGTTTCCATATGGAGACAAGGTGGGGGCTGTGTCTATCCAAGCTGAACATTGGAGTATTCTATTTTAATATCTTTTCTATGCTATGACTAGTAAACCTGCATTTGTTAAGTGCTGAATGAGCTATGTGTGTGTCATTTAATTACACTTGAAATAACAGAATACTGGTTTGAGTAATTGTTGTTCAGTCATTTTAGTCATTTAGTCACGTCTGATTCTTTGTGATCCCATTTGGGGTTTTCTTGACAGAGATACTGGAGTGCTTTGCCATTTCCTTCTCCAGCTCATTTTATGGATGAGAAAACTGAAGTAAACAGGGTTAAGTGACTTGCCCAAGGTCACACAGCTAGTAAGTGTTTGAGGCCAGCTTTGAATTCAGGTCTTCCTGACTCCAGGCATGATGCTCTATCTAGCTAGCTCTCCTTTATATCTCTCCAGCACTAGGTGTTCCTTAGCTCATGGTCTAAAAAAACCACTGGGCTAGGAAGAGAAGTAGCCCAGTCCTCTGCTCCTTAGCGCCACTTCCAACCATTATTCAGCAACCGCACCTGCTTTGAGGTTCACTCCATCTATTTATACAACCCTGTCCTAATATCTCTCACAATTTTCTACCAGCCTCTGGTTTATTCTCCATCTTTTCTCAAGGTGTATAGTACTTAGAGCATTCTTTTTCTCCACCTTGACCCTTATTTTTATACTCAGACTCTCTAATATGCTTATTGATGTTCCCTTAAAATACCACCAATCTCTTCAGATCCCATGTACCACATCTTTATTACCCCTGAGCCACCAGTTGGGAAGGCTATACCTTTGATCTCACCATAAATAAAAAGAATATGAAATTTCCATGATCCTAAACTCTAAACTTTCTATTCCTCCCATATCTTTCTCTGCCTCCTACACCTGTTCTTCATCTTTACCATGACCATCTTCACCATGAAATCCCAAAGCCACCACTGTTGCTAGGTTTCTCAGTATATCACTCCTGAATTGGGCTCACTGTCCTCCCTTCATTGTCTTGATGTGATATTTGACCAATTGAACTATATACTAGCTTACCTTTAGACACGTGGACCTCTTACCCTATTATCAGTTACCCATTAGGCATCCTTGCCTTCTTGTGTTGCCTTATCTCACTTTTGCACTGGAATCTTTTTATTCTTCCTTGATTGTATCTCAAGCACACTCTCCATGGCAGATATTCCAAGTCTTCTTCTTCTTCTCCTCCCTAAGTCTTTTATGCCATCCCCTCCTTTCTCCCTTAGCATGTTTCCTACCTTACTGCTAAGATAAAAAGCATCTGCAGGGAGTTTTATATATGAGGAAACTGAATCTGAGAGGGGTTAAGTGACTTGCCCAAACTCACATATTTAGTAAGGCAGAATTCAAACTCTGATCTTCTTGACTCCAAGTTCAACATTCTATCCACTGTGCCACCTAGCTGTCTAAGGTGACAAAAAGCTGAGAACAATAACTAACATTTGGTGACTGAGTCAAGATTCCAAAAATTCTCAACAGGTTCTAACAATGAGCTAACAGATAACAGATTATAGGGACAAATTTAGTCTTTTACACAAGTTCAAAAAAGTCAACTTTGTAAGTATAAGACATGGGAATTATGGCTATATAGTTTTCCTGAAAACAATCTAGGGATTTTAGTATACAATAAGCTTAATACAAATCAAAGATATAATATAGCAACTACAAATTATTGTTTTCAGAGGAGTATAGCCTCTAGGACTAGGCAGGTGATATTTCCCACATAATCTGACTTGCTTAGTCCATATCTGATGTATTGTTTTCAGTACAGGGCACCATGTTTTGGAAGGATGATTATAAATTAGAGAGAGCCCAGAGGATGGGGATGAGAATAGCTAAATCTCCAAGATTATCCTATAGAATGATTAGTTAAAGGACCTTTAGCTGGGTAGCTCGGAATAAAGAAGAGCAGAGGGGGGAATGGATGAAGGTATGAGAGATGGACACAGGATAGATAGTTTGCTTTAAGTATCTGAACGGCTTTCATATGGAAGAGGAATTACATGTGTTTCCAGAGAGCAGGTGGAGCTGAAAGCAATGGGCAGACTGGCGAGAGGCAGATTGGATTTTAAAAAAATTCCTAACATTAGAACTACCCCAATATGGAATGACCTGCCTTAGGAGGTAGTATGTGCCTTCTGACTTGTGGTCTTCATACAAAGACTGAATGCCTATTTCTGTAAATGTTATAGAATGGACTTCTTTATACATGTGGTTTGGATTAGATCCTCTCTGATGACATTTCAGACTCTGAGATTCTCTGATTCTCCCTGTCCTTTTCCATTTTCTCCTTTACTTTTGTCCCCTCTCCTCCTAGTGAAATCTCCTTACATCTATTGCCACTTTCCTTCATTGAGTTTATACTTTTTTAATAGTCATTTCATTTTGATGCTACTTAAGTGTTTTTATTGTTACCCTATTTGTCATATGACTGGACATTACTGTCTTTTTTTTTTGCAAGACCAACTAAACTTTCCAATCTCTGCTAAACAGCCACCCTGTAGACCTTATCAGAAAACTAGTTACACTCCATTACTTGCAAATGTGTCATCACAGAAATAAATTCCTTAAAATATTAGATCAAAATGAGGATTAATTCATTGCTTTTACTTTGCTGAACATGCTTAATTTCTGTTCATACCTAGTGGATAAGGTCCCATCTCGTGACATGGCATGTTTTAACACTAATTTTTTCCCTACATAACTCAAGCTAAACTATTTAAACTATCACTGCTTGCTAATCTCTATAAATTTACTGTATTAATTAGTTCTCACATCAAGATTATCTGTCTCTCAAATCTCCTTCCATTTACAGATATTTTAAACCGTCCTATGTAAATACATGCACTTGCATGCACATACCCGCACACGTGTGTGCACACACAGGCACGCACACACACGTACTCCCACAATTTGTCTGCCTAACTCCACCCTACTGTGAAACAGATAATTAAATAAGTGAAATAAATATCTCTTACTCCATGACTGGCATAAATTGTTACTGACCTCTGGTTAAGTGGTTCTTCACAAAGCTGTTATTAAACAGCAGCTTGGCTTGTCACTATCAAAACTACCTCTTTCCCCTATAGCTCTAATGAATAATTGGGGCAAAATATTATGTGACTCACTCAAGGTTACATGGTTATAATAACCAAGGCACAGTAAAGTAAAGAAGGCACATACATAGCACTCAGGCTATCCAGAAGAACTGAACACTTACATTGCTTATTTTGTGCTTCCATGCCATGTAATTCAGGTAAAGAATTGATTCTTCCCGAAGAAAAGGCACATTTAGAACAAGCAAATAAATAGAAAAGAACCAGGGGAAAGCCTGTGGAAGGCCTGAGACTTCTAATATATAAAGCTTCACAAACATGGATAAAGCACTAGACTTGGAGTTAGGGATATCTGGGTCCAATACTTCCTTTAGACATCAATTAGTTTTGTGACCCTGGGCAAATCATTTGCTTCATTTTCCACATGTGCAAAATGAGGGGGTTATGCCTGATGATTTGTAATGTCTCTTCTAACTCAAAATCTACAATGACCCCATGATGATGGCTTTCAAGGGGAAATGTTTCCAGGAAAGAAAAGTATGTATGTATGTATGTATGTATGTATGTATGTATGTATGTATGTATGTATGTATGTATGTATGTATACACATACATACACACAAGTACACATACATATATGTATACATATGCATATACATATGCATATGTATATATACATCTATATGTATATATTTTTAAGTGAAATCAATTTAAAGTGAATTTGAATACTGAAACATGTTTTAGGCAAAAAGCTGGAAAGTCCCACAGTTTCGTTCTGGTGTAGCATACAAGCTGCAGTCCTCGGCAAAGCAAACTTCCTCTGTTTAAAAGTGAAACTCAAAACAAAACCTGTCCCACACTGGCTAGTCCTTCCCACATTTGGAAAGGAAATGCCACCTCCCCAAAGGAAAAGAACTTGTGGGTATTAAGATATTTCGGAAGCTCACTCTTCAGGACACTAAATATCAACACTACATATCCTTTTGAAAAAGGTACACCAGCTTACTACTAACAGTAATTGAGTCGGGGGCAGGGAAGGCAGGCAAGTAGAGAGGTACAGATGCTCTCCATTAACCTAGTAATTCTTCCCTTTCCTTCACTTTCTGTGTGGGGCACATTTGCATTTTGAGGAGTAGGAGGAAAATTCAAAACAGGTTCTTTCAGTCGAGGTTTAAATATTCGTATAAATTAAGAAGCTTCACAGAGAGGGGAAGATGAATGGCAGGGGAATTGGGAATTACTCCTCTGGGGTAACATTAGTGCATCTCACAACTGGTTGGTTGTGCCTGTTTCTCTAGGTCAAGGTCAGATGAAAGAGTTTTTCAAGGCAGGAGAAAATGGGGCTATTTAAAGTGGAAAATCTGATCTGAATATTGTTAACTCTCCTGTGCAGTATTAAGTCACAGTGTTAATGTTTGGTTTTACACGGAAACTAAGCATAATTTACTAGCAAAATACTCATTTAAAAACCCCAGAAAATGCCTATGGTTTGGTACTCATTTGTTTTTACTGAAAAGCCTTTCAGATTCCCTTCTTCAGTAAGTCATTGCAGATGCAAAAATGGGGAAGGAGGATTTTTTTTTCCTCTCTCAATATGAAAAATCATTAATATGTTCAAGGTTTAACTTTCTTTTTATGAGTGTTTCTGTGTGGACCATATGGCATCAGCTAGATTGGAAGATTTTCACTTGCTTTATGAAAATTTGGGTGAGAATTTCTTTCATAAGCTCTTCTTTTGCAGCAGGTTACTTTGAAGCAGGTATGACACTCTTACAGAACACGAAGGCTGGCATTTAACAATCAGTGACAAAGACCAGGAATCTGGAAAAAAAAAAAGGAGAACAATCATTTGCTAACTTAATTAAGACCCTGTACCTAGATTATTAGTATCATCATATGAAAATATTGACCAAAGCTATAAAATACAAGCCAGAGATTCAACCATATTTGTAGAAATCAAAACACATTATCATTATCAATTCATGATAGCACATTAAGAACAGCAGTGATTATAGAAGAGATTCATTCTATTAAAGTTATGATTAGACAGAAGTGTAAACATGTCCCATTTGGTGTGCTCAGTCTTCTTCCCTAGGATACAAGCCTCAATTCAATCTTCAGCACGGGCATACTAATTATGATGGAATCAGAGTCACAATCAGTTAGTACTCCAAAACTAAGTATCATAGTGACTTCTTTACATTTCTTATTTAATCATTTTTGAGATTTGATGATTTTGAATGTCTTTTGGCCCAACTAGTTTGTCATTCATTTAAAAGGGGTGATTCTCTGCACCTACCCAAATTAGCCCATTTTAAAAATCTTTTTTATGAACCTATTTATTCTGTTTTGTTTTGCTACCTTTTAGTGGAAAATGCTTTTGAGTACTTTCATTGGGAACATCATGTATGACAGAGAGACAGGAATATGTGAAAGGTGAGGATAGTTAGGCACTTTTCTCTTTTTCAATTTATTTATTTTTAGTTTTCAACGTTCACTTTTTTAAGATTTTGGTTCTAAATTTACCCCCTCGCTTCCCCAGATGGCATGCAATCTGATATAGGTTATACATGTACAATCATATTAAGCATATTTCCACATTAGTCAGGTTGTGAAAGAAGAATCAGAACAAAAGGAAAAAATCATGAGAAAGAAAAAAAAAGAGAGAGAAAATAGTATGTTTCGATCTGTGTTCAGACTCCATAGTTCTTTCTTTGGATGTGGATCACATTTTCCATCGTGATTCTTTTGGTATTGCAGTTAGTTACTTTTCAACTTGGATTCTCCTAAAACAAGACACCTTGGGAATTTTAAAAATCCTTTTTTTTTCATTTTTAAGAGCAAATACTTTTCAGTCCCAGTAATTTCACGTTCTTTTTTTAATCTAAAGATTAGATGTGTATACATACATGTGCATATATTAATATATAATATAACAGACATGTATATAGTGTGTACATATATGCATGTCTGTACATGCATGTATGTGTATGTGTATAAACACATATGTATGTGTGTGTACACACAGACACATAACACACACATAATTTTTACAATAGATACTGAAGATCAAAACAGAAGTGGTAAGATGACAGACTAAGAATCTTAGAACTGGAAGAGAATCTAGAGATCAAGTCTAACTCTCCCTTTTTTATAGAAGACAAAACTGAGCAGAGATAAAATGAGCTGCTTAATGGCCTGAAAAGTAGAAGAAGAGCAAAGATTCAAATCCAGCTCCTCAGATTTCTGATACATGGATTTTTCCATTGTAACCACAAATATCTAGCCTAAGCCCTCCAAATTGGAGTCATTTATAATTTTTTAAAGAGAAAAAATAAAACAATATTGATATGGTGCTTGGGTGCTTATGCTTGGGTGCTTGTACTTGGACCCCAATTTCTCCCTAGCCTCAGAAACACTGTCCCTGATAGTTTCTCCCCAGCCCAAGGACCCTGTACTTAGCAATTACTCATGAGTGGGCCCCAGCAAGATCCTGATCTCTCTCCAAACAGCACCTGAAGGATTTATTAGCTTGAACTGGCTTTGCACTAGGTCATAAAGACATTTTTACCCACTGGACTATCTCCTACTACACTACATCGTTATCTACATCCTGGGCTCCTCATTAACTGTATTCTAGACTTAAGACATATGTATACTCCTTACATCTATCTTGTCAAACAAGACATTGATTGGTGGCAGACTGGACAACTCTCAGTTACCCTGAACTCTAGTTAACCTAGTGATGTAGCAGGCCTAAAACCACACCTCCATGTGGCCCCTTTTGTGGGCTTTTCCCAGTGAACTCTGGGTAAAACACCTGCTCAGTATATACAAGAAGTGCATGTTCCTTAAAGAACTGACCACTCCTTAACCACTCCCTAATCCCATGCTGAATCCTCTAGTTAGCATATTTGGCACATGTTTTATTGTATTTTATCCTATATAAACTTTAACTGTACCTGTCTAAGGTTGCAGGAATCCTTAAGAATCCTTGCCTGCTGAAAAGCGTAACAATAAACTTTGCCACCTTGACTAAAGAATGCTTGAGTCAGTGAATTCATTCCAGATGACCCATCATGTACTTCAGTCTTTGAGGGGTCACAACCTCTCAATCTCTCATCCTGCAACAATATCATAATGCATGAAACAAAATTAAACAAATAAGTTTTCTCTGTATTCCTTCCCAAATTTGTCTATGTGTATATAAAGTTGTGTTGCTTCATACTTTGTTTTCTTCCTTCCCCATCTTCCCTTCCCCCACTCCCCACCTTTTTTTAAAAAATAATCGTATTCAATGGATAAATTCTTCTGGTTTCACTTGTCTAATTTTTATCACTTTATATGTCTTTACATATTTTCTTATGTTAGTATTGTTGAACATAAAAATTATTTCCAGTTTTTTGCACATTTATTTTATAAATAGAGGAACTATAAATATTTTATATAGAGAGATCCTTTTTATTTCTTTTCATAATGTCTTTAAGATAAAGTCCTAGCAATAGACTCACTAAATCAAAAAGTAAGGTTAGTTTTGACTCATTGTATATTACCACATTACTCTTAAAATTTTGCATCATTCTATGTCCTCTCAACAACATAGCAGAGTGCTGAAATTTAATATTTAGTGGATATAGACTATTATCTTAATGTTTTCTTGAAACTATATTTCTCTGAATTTTAGAGAACTTGAACATTTTTTCATATGGTCAATTGATCATTTGTTTCCTAAAAAAAAAACTATGTGTTATGGCCACATTTCCATTATGGATATGTATATTACTTCTTTTAAATTCTAGATAAGAGAATTTTGTTTGTGTGACCCCAGTCTCAAAGTCCATTGGAACACTCTCTTTGTTGGTGGAAATCAACGTTGCTTGCCTACACAAGGCATGGGGCAGAGTGCTTGAGAGAGGAGAGAGAAGAGCTCTTCAGCTCATTTCAAGCTCATGCCAGATTCTTCCCAGAGTCTTCCTCCAGCCACCAGAATTGGAGTTGGCATCTTCCGTCTTCTCTCTCAAAGCTGAAAGCCAGAAGTGCCAGAAGCTAATCAAAGCTTGAAGGGAACTGAAGAGCTCTCCAGTCTTTCACAAACTCCACCCCTCTCCTCACACAGGCAAGGCACATCGACTTCTACCAACAGGAAACAGCTCAATACCAGTAGACTTTGGGACTGGGGTTATACCAAATATGGTTTTCCTTTTTCTTTTAAATACTATTTTCCTCCTGCAAAATCCTTTTATTCTGATGTAATCAAATCTAGTAATTTTGTTTCCACTTATTTCTTCCATTTTTGTTTGCTAAAAATGTTATTCCACTCAAATATATGACTAAGAGAAATCTATTTTTCCTTCTTCCAGTTTTTGCTATTTTGCATATTTTTAGATTTTCAACCCGGTCACAATTTATTGTAACATATGGTGTGAAGTAAGGATTTAAAACCATTTTTCTTTTTGCCTATCCAATTCTTTCAAAAGTATCTACTTAATAATGATCATATTCTCCAGCATTAAAAAAAAATTAAAAAACCCCAACACTTTAAACAAAACTTAAGTGTTTAAGTGTTAAAAACACTTTTAGGTATGGGTCTGTTGTTGTACAGTTGTTTTTTGGTCACATCCAAACTCTTTGTGACCCCTTTTGGGGTTTTTTTGGCATAGATACTGGAGTGGTCTACCATTTCCTTCTCTAGCTCATTTTACAATTGAGGCAACTGAGGCAAACAAGGTTAAGTGACTTGTCCAGGGTCACACTGCTGGTAAGGGTCTGAGGCCACATTTGAACTCAGAGAGATGTCTTCTTGTCTCTGGGCCTGGAATTCTACCCAATGTACCCCCTAGATACCTAGATATAGGTTTTGTTGTTGTTCTTTAGTAATGTTTTAGTCATGTCTGACTCTTTGTGACCCCTTTTGGAGTTTTCTTGGCAAAGATATTGGAATTGTTTGCCATTTCCTTCTCCAGCTCATTTCGCACTTGAATAAATGACGCAA